CTACTCTTTGTATTTAACTCACTAGTCAGAGGAGACCCGAACGTTATCTGCCTTTGACAAAGGCATTCTGAAAATGGTATCCCTTCATAATCTGTTGAAACACCATGTATTGTGGCACTTCTGCTTCATTTTCATGTGATCTATACGCTATATATAATGCACCGCAAGATTGTTTATTTGCCTAGACTAAAGATCGCTAACCTGGACTTCGTATTTCGCGTTTCTGATGTATAAGTATCTAACCTTACTGTTCTAACATTGTTCTCTTCTTTTGGGAGCAGATGCCCGGACGACCGATGGGTGACATTTGTCAGCTCTATTATTCGATCGCAGCCCCTTTCAAGGCTCCTCCCAGGACTAAGTCACACGCGGACTTGATCAACCAGTGCTTTGCTCGAGCTGTAAGAGCGGGTCGTGTGGCAAATCGTTGGGTCACTCAACTTAGTTCACATCGACCAGGCCGTTCAGCCGTATCAGCTGCCGCCATTCACTGTCGCAACCCCGGAGATGCTGAAGATCCATTGGAACGTGAATTCGAGATGCATCTTGTCGGTTTGGTTGGAATGTCTAAGGCTCGTCGCCTTCTCGGACGTCGAATGTTGTCCACACCCTATCCTCTGTGGATCAATCAGAATCCATCTGCATCTGAAACCTGCGCTGGTTTAGATTCACGCGCCAATTCACCAACTCGAGTATTGCCGTTTACAACACGACCGATTGTGAATGGACATGCGGCTTGTTTGACTTTACCCACTTTTACTTGCGTGGATTACAGCATGGGCAATGGAAGTTCTGGTGCTTCATCACAACTGGGCAGTGAATCGACCACACATAGTCGGCAAGTGCAGTTATCTATAGCTTTCCTCAAACTAAATTTATTAGTGGATAAACTGATGTAGATGGTAGTTTTTTACAAGTAGTGTTGAACCGATTTATTCTGACCAGCCTTCTCTTATCACTGTTCGAAACGGAGAACCCGAGTTTTCCATGGCAAATCACAATGTATTTAGACTTACGGTTTGCCGAAATGCTATTTCATTATAGTTATCCTTTGCTGTTGTAAAATAATGTGCCTAAGGTTAGAAAAATATCTCTACTCTTAATTGAAATTCCATGCCGTCAGAGCGTCCGAATAATGCAGCCAGACCCAAAATCGGGTTTGGAAACATCTAACAACTAAGAACCCACAACTGCCTTCTGGCGTCGGCAACAACTCACGTATTCGGTCGGCATAGAATCCAAGCCAAAAATGAATTTAACATTCGTGATAGATTGATGATGCCTTTCCCTCTGACTGAAATGCTCCAAAGAACCGTTCATTTATTCTCGCAAAATAACCTGAAAATTGCTAATCGAGTGATATTAGGTGATCAAATTAGCTGCTTTTTATCTGAGGATAAGCCTACCTTATTGATATCTTTTTGCTGGTGCCAAATAACGACGATCAACCAGTGATTGTGGGATAAAGTTCAGTCATACAACGTAACCGTGCTGTTCAGTAAATAACCGTATTCGAACCTTGATCCTTATCACCAATCTATTGGGACTGACCTATTCAGTCTTACTTCACCGACTACCACAAGACCGTTTTAGGGCGGGTTAGCATGTTTCATGACCTGAGAACCAGGGGGATGAAAATAAGTTGAAACATCAGGTACTTGTTATTTTGCGGCCTCAGTTTTGATTGTTTTCTAAACGGGTTAATTATTTGAAGGTGTATCAGAACCACGGTTCACATGTCCGAAGTGAGCTGCTTTCCTCTGCTCGGAATATCATGTGGTCCATGATCTACCTATTTATTGACCATATGGTGTTTAATTCTTATCTCGGGTGTTTACTGGAACAATTGCACTCTTCATGACGATTTCCCATCGAGTGGTTCACGTAAGATCCCATAGCACGGCTTGGAGTAATTTTTCCTCACTCCAATTTTATTTGTAACGCGGAAGACGTGCCTTTATAATCTTCACACTAGCCTAATGCATTTTGTTCCTATTGAAATCCCGATAGATAGAAATATGGTACTTATATTTTTGTGCATAGTTCTGCTTTATTGTTCACGAATTGCTCTCAGAAGAGTTAACATTTCTATTGACTGAATAATGGTGTTTACATTTGAATGGTTTCTTTGAAAATCCCATGCAGCAATAGCACGTAGTCATCTCGGGATGTCTTGAATTCCTATTTGAGAAAACGTCTTATTGTGAACTAAACCGGGTATTCTTTTCGGCTTGCGATCCAAACATCGCAAGCGGACAGTGGGTCCCCACCGGGAACCTTTCTGAGTTGAAACACGGTCACCGAT